GTGTGGTGTTTATATTCATTTTAGAGGTAAAATGGTGCATTTAAAAGGTAAAATAATGCATTTAAAAGCCAAAATAACAAATTTAAAAGATAAAATGACTTATTTTGAAGAGAAATGGCATTTTAAAACTCCTTTTTGCATTTATTTTCAAACAAAATCCCACAGCAGATTTGCATTCTGGGGCGCCGCCGAGCGAGAACTTAGGCCACAAAAGCGGATGAACTTCTGCAGATTTGATTTAATTTGAATTAATTTGAATTAATTTGAATTAATTTGAATTAATTTGAATTAATTTGAATTAATTTGATATATTTAATTCATTTAAATGAACTTTAGTGGCAAAATTGTTCCAAATCAGCAAAATGGTGAAGGCTGAGGCGGCGCGGCGCAGGCGCCACCTCAACTCGCCAACTGGCCCACATATGTTCTTTATTTTTAACTTTTTGTTTTAAATTTATCAAAAATTTAAATTAATTTAAAAATAATAAATAAAAGACTTTAAAGCTCCCGAAAGCAGCCACAATATCCACCCGGGGGGCCCCCCTGCCAGCGCTGGGGCCCCGAGTCGGCAGCAGCAGCAGCAGCAGCAGCAGCAGCGCAGCAGCAGCAGCAGCAGCAGATCTCAGCGCTTTCCTGCTGCTGCATGCAGTCCCACTGAAGCAATGAAAGTCTTTTTTTGCCTTTTACCCCAACTCAAGCATGAGGGGCCCCCAGATTGCTGAGGGGGCCCCCCTGAGCCAGCCGGGGCCCGGGGGGCCCCCCCCCCTGGGGCCCCCGGGGGGCCCCCAAGACCCTTATGCCTTCATAGACGCACAGATAGGGGGGCCCCCAGGGGCCCTCGGGGGCCCCCCTGAGGACTCAGAGGCGCTTGAGAGGAAGCTGGAGGCCCTGCGGGCCTCTTTGAGGCAAAAAATCGATGTAAGGGGCCCCTGAAATGCTGCTGCTGCTGCTGCTGCTGCTGCTGGTAGTCGTGCCACTGCAGCAGCTGCAGCAGCTGCAGCAGCAGCAAGCGTTGCTGCTGCGTGGTCCTACGCCACCACGGCTGCTGCTGGTCTTCCTTTGGGCGTTTAGCGTCCGCGGCCGCTGCAGCGGCAGCTGCAGCAGCAGCAGCAGCAGCTGCGGCAGCAGCAGCAGCAGCTGCTGCTGCTGCAGCAGCAGCAGCAGCAGCAGCAGCAGCTCGAGGCGCCTGCTGCTGCGACTTTTGCTGCTCAGGCTTCCCTGAATGCTGCAGAAACAAATGCCTTGTCTCTCACGGGCTCTGTTGCTGCTGCTTTGGGATCTGCTGCTGCAGCAGCAGAAGAGATCAGCAGCTGCCGCACAGCAGCGCAGCAGCTGCTGCTGAGTCTCGAAGCAAAAGGGGCCACCCAGGAGGTGAGGGATTTGCTGCTGCACTTTTGTCTCTTTTCTCTTTTTTGTTTTTAATTTCTTTTTCTCTTTTTAATTCCTTTTTTCTTTTCTCTCCTTTTCTCTCTCTGCTGCTTCGTCCCTGCTGCTGCTGCTGCTGCTGCTGCTGCTGCTGCTGCTGCTGCTGCTGCTGCTGCTATAACCTTGCTGCTCATGGTGGCGCTGCTGCTGCTGCTGCTGCTGCTGCTGCTGCTGCTCGCGTTCCTTTGCTTCCCCTCCTGCTGCTGCTGCTGCCCACCGCGCTTTGCCTCCGCTGCTGCTGCTGCTGCTGCTGTAGTGATGCCTTGCTAATCTTAGTGGCGCTGCTGCTGCTGCTGCTGCTGCTGCTGCTGTTGCTGCTGCTGCTGCTGCTCGCGTCCCGTTGCTTTCTCTTCTGCCGCTGCTTCTACCCGCCCTGGGCTGCCTCCGCTGCTGTTGCCGATGCTGCTGCTGCTGCTGCTGCTGCTGCTGCTGCTGCTGCTGCTGCTGCTGCTAGGAGGGACTTTCAACAGTCTATTTGCTGCATGCAGCAAAGAAGCAGCTGGAGTGCTGCAGTGCTGTTGTTGCAGAGCTGCACCGGTGGCACTTCAGGTGATTTTATTTTAATTTAATTTAATTTAATTTAATTTGTTTTAATTTAATTTAATTTAATTTAATTTAATTTAATTTAATTTAATTTAATTTAATTCGTTTTAATTTAAATTAGTTTAGTTTAATTTAGTTTAGTTTAATTTATTTTGTTTTGTTTTGGTTCGGTTTAGTTTGTTTTATTTCATTTAGTTTTGTTTTAATTTAAATTATTTTATTTTATTTTATTTAATCGGTTTACTTTGTTCTGTTTTATTTCGCTTTATTTTATTTTATTTTCATTTTTAATTCGCTTTATTTTCTTTTAATTTAATGTAATTTAATGTAATTTAATTTAAATTAATTTAATTTAATTTATTTAATTTTATTTCATTTTTCTTTTTATTTTACTTTTTCGAATTTGTTCTCCAGTTGGCTGCGAACAGCAACTGTTAAATTAAATTAATTTAATTAATACAATTAATTTAATTAATTTAACTTAATTTAATTTAATTTGATTAAATTAAATTAAATTAAATTAATCAAATTAATTTAATTTAGTTTAATTTAATTAACTAATTTAATTTAATTAGTTAATTAATTTATTTATTTGTCTTTGTGACAAGTGGCTGCTGGTGCTGGCAGCAGCTGCTGTCTTGATTTATTTGTCTTTTATTTTTTTGAATATATTTTGAATTTATTTTTAAATTTATTTTTGAATTTAGTATTTATTTTGTTTTTTAATTAATTAATTTATTTTTAAATTAATTAATTTCGTTTTTAATTGTTTAATTGTTTATTTCTCTTAAAGTTGAATAATCTTTTTCTTAAAAATATTTCATCTTTTACCTTTTGCATTATTTGAAAAATAAAAATTCCATTTTAATAATTTTTGTCTTCTTCGAGAATTCATTTTATTCCAAGATGAATTTCTCTTTATTTGTTGTCCAATTTGCTCCAAATGGATCTGCTTTTTGTTTTATTTGCTGCTGCTGCTGCTGCTGCTGCTGCTGCTGCTGCTGCTGCTGCTGCTGGTTTGCTGCAGAGTGCAGGAAGCTGAGCTGCTGCTGCAGTCGCTGCGGCCGGGGGGCCTGCAGCAAGCCTCGCAGCAGCGGGCGGTGCTGGAAGCTGCTGCTGTTGCTGCTGCGCTGCTGCAAGCTGCTTCTCTTCTTGCTGCTCTTCCGGAATTCCAAGAAAGAATTTTAACTGCCAAAAGACTCCAAGCCAGAGTCCTCGCCCTCGCCACTCTCCTGTCAGCTGTACAGACACCCCACAGCAGCAGCAGCACAGACACCCCACAGCAGCAGCAGCTGTACAGACACCCCACAGCAGCAGCTGTACAGACACCTCACAGCAGCAGCAGTACAGACACCTCACAGCAGCAGCTGTACAGACACCCCACAGCAGCAGCAGCGCAGACACCCCACAGCAGCAGCAGCACAGACACCCCACAGCAGCAGCAGCACAGACAGCCCACAGCAGCAGCTGTCTGTACACCCCACAGCAGCAGCTGTCTGTACACCTCACAGCAGCAGCTGCATGTACACCCCACAGCAGCAGCAGCTGTACATACACTCCAGGGCAGCTCAGCAGCGCCCCAGCACTCCCTGAGCTTTTGTGTCCCCCCAGTCTCTTTCTCGAGTCCGCTGCTGCCGCTGCTGCTGCTGCTGCTGCTGCTGCTGCTGCTGCTGCTGCTGCTGCTGCTGCAGGCTGAAGGAGTCCGTGGCGGCGACGAGCATGGAGGGCTTTGGCTGCGCAGTTGCTGCTTTTGAAAAGCTGGGGGCCCAAGAAGTTTTGCTGCAGGAGCTTCCGGGGGCCCTCAGGGCTTTGCTGCAGCAGCAGTGGGCAGCTCTGTGGGCCAGGACCCCCGCGGGCTGTGCTGCAGCTCTTGAGGGGCCCCTGGGGGCCCCCCTCGAGGCCCCCTTGGGGGCCCCCCTGGGGGCCCCCCTGGGGGCCCCCCTGGGGGCCCCCCTGGGGGGCCCCCTGGGGGGCCCCCTGGGGGGGGCCCCCTTTGGAGGGGGGCCCCTGGGAAGCGGCGGGAGCTTCGAGGGGGCCTCCTTGGGGGCCCCCTTGGGGGCCCCCTTCAGTGGGGGGCCCCTCGAGGGGGGCCCCCTGGGGGGCCCCCAAATGCAGCTGGGGGGCCCCCCTGAGGGGGGCTGCATAGCAGAGCCTGAGGCCCTAATGACTTATGCAGAGAAGTGGACTGCTGCTGTGGAGCAGGTGGGGTGGAATTAAATTAAAAATAAATAAATTAATTAAAATGCGCAGCAGCAGCAGCAGCAGCAGCAGCAGCAGCAGCTTTATTAAAGGAAGTGTTCTTTTGGGGGGCTGCCGCTGCGCTGCAGACGGCGGGCTTCATCCGGGCTGCTGCAGCTTCTGTGGGAGCAGCAAGAAGAAACAGCAGCAGCAGCAGCAGCAGCAGCAGCAGCAGCAGCAGCAGCAGCAGCAGCAGCAAAGCCAGCGATAGGGGCCCCCACCAGACGAGGGCCCCCGGGGGGCCCCCCAGCCGTCGGCAGTCTTCGGAGATGCTGCTGCCTTTTGGCTCTCTTGGGAAGCCCCATTTGGGTTTGTTTGATTTTCTTTTATTTAAATCTTTTTTAATTCTTTTTTAATTCTTTTTTAATTCTTTTTTAATTCTTTTTTAATTCTTTTTTAATTCTTTTCTTTAATAAATCCCTTAATTGGCCAATTAAAAATGAAACATTTGATCCATTTGAAGTGGTTTTTATTTTTAAGTGAAAACAGAATTTTGAAATGCTAAATGGGGCTTTTCAGGCATAAAAGCCATGCATGCATGCATGCATGCATGCATGCAAGTCAACTGCATGCATGCATGCATGCATGCATGCATGCATGCATGCATGCATGCATGCATGCATGCAGTTGACATGCATCTTTATTGCACTTAAAAAGGGAGTATTTGTGGCTGCATGCGTTTTTGTTGCATTCGAAAGAAACGTTTAGGGCTGCATGCGCTCTTGTTGCATTCAAAAGAAACACCTGGGGCTGCATCCTGCTGCTGCTGCTGCTGCTGCTGCTGCTGCTGCTGCTGCTGCTGCTGCTGCTGCTGCTGCGCGTGTTCAGCGGGCCAAGGGGGCCCCCCTGCTGCTAAGGCCCGGGGCCTCTGGCTGTCCCTTTTGCTGCAGTCTTTGGGGGCTGGTGCTGCAGTGCCGCTGCAGGACCTGGAGCGTTTGCTGCAGCGCTTTCGCCCGAAGCAGCAGCAGCAGCAGCAGCAGCAGCTGCAGCAGCTGCAGCAGCAGCAGCGAGAGCAGGAGCAGGAACAAGACGGGCTCCAGGTGCGCGTTGCTGCTGCAGGCAGTATGCGTGTTGCAGGCCTTTGCTGCTCTTTTAATTTGCTGTTGCTGCTGCTCCTGCTGCACCTGCTGCTTTCTCTGCTGCTGTTGCTGCTGCTCTTCCTGCTGCTGCTGCTGCTGCTCTGCTGCTGCTGCTGCTGCTCTTTCCGTTGCCGCTGCTCTTCCTGCTGCTGCGGCTCTTGTTGCTGCTGCTGCTCTTCCTGCTGCTGCAGATTTTGCTCTGCAGCCGCTGTTGCTGCTGCTGCTGCCCTTTCCGCTGCAACTGTTGCTGCTGCTGCTGCTGCTGCTGCTGCAGCTCGCTGAGCAGCTTCTGGAAGCCTACGAAGTTGCTGCTACGCTCATTAATGCCACTCCAGCCTTTGCGGAGACAGAGGTCTCCGAGCCCCACCTGTGGGAGCGCGTACGTTTTTAGGGTTTAGGGTTTAGGGTTTAGGGTTTAGGGTTTAGGGTTTGGGGTCAATAGTTAGGGTTTAGGGTTTAGGGTTAAAGTTTCAGGGCCTGGGGAGTACTTTCTGGGATTCTTTTTGTAAAAGCTGCTACCGGCATCCTCGAGTCCTTCTCCATTTTTGCTGCTGCAGCATCTGCTGCTGTTGCTGCCGTTGCTGCTGCTGCTGCTGCTGCTGCTGCTACTGCTGTTGCTGCTCCTGGCTGCAACCGGAGCTGTCTGTTTCCCACCCACTGTTGCCCTGAGCCCCGCAGCAGCAGCAGCAGCAGCAGCAGGGACCACTGTGTGCGTGTGCTGCTGCTGCTGCTGCTGCTGCTGCTGCTGCTGCTGCTGCTGCTGCTGCAGTTTTGCAGCACTGTGGAGCTGCTGCCGCCGTCGCTGCTGTCAGTTTATTCTGCTGCTGTCTCGCGGCGGCTGTCTTTGTCTCTGGAAGCTGCCCCTCAAGGGGCTTCAAGAAAAGTGTCTCCTTTCCAGGTGCAGCAAATTGATTTATTTATTTTATTTTTATTTTATTTATTTTTTATTTTTGCTGCTGCTGTGTCTCCCTCTGTTTGCTGCTGCACCTCCGCCCCACACTGCAGCTCCCCGCGCCCTGCTGCCCCTCGCTGCTGCTCCCCACGCCGCAAACTGCTGCTGCTGCTGCTGCTGCTGCTGCTGCTGCTGCTGCTGCTGCTGCGTTCAGGCGGTGGCCCAAATGCAGGAGGAGACAGAGACTGCTGTGAGGAGACTCTTGGAAGTCCTCCCGTCCCTCTGCAGCAGCAGCAGCAGCAGCAGAAGTGCGGGGGGCCCCTTTGTTGCTGCTGCTGCTGACGGGGCCCTTGTGGAGCTGCTGAACCACCTCAGCCCCAGAGTCAACGCCTTCCACCAGTCCGTCGCCCACAAGGTAACAGCAGCAGCAGCAGCAGCAGCAGCAGCAGCAGCAGCAGCAGCAGCAGCAGCAGCAGCAGCAAAGGCAAAGCAGCAGCAGCAGCGAAGCAGCAGCAGCTGCTGCTGCTTCTGCTCCTGCTGCAGACCTAATTCCAAGCGTCGCCTGTCCTCGGCGCCTGTCGAGAGCAGCAAGAATTGAGACCCTGTGCTGCTATCCCAGCTGCTGCTGCTGCTGCTGCTGCTGCTGCTGCTGCTGCTGTGCTGTCCTGCAGTCGCAAAGTTTGCTGCTGCAGCACAGGGATCGGATCCCAGCGGGGTCCCCTTTTGAAGCAGTCCCGTGGGATGCTTCTCTCTTTTCTGCCTGTCTCCAGCTGCACTGCCTCATGGTCTCCTTTGCTGCTAAACTCCACGAGGTGCTGCTGCTGCTGCTGCTGCTGCTGCTGCTGCTGCTGCTGCGTTGGGGCTCCAGCGACGACCTGCTGCTGCTGCTACCTTGCTGCCAAAGTAGATGCTGCTGTTTCCCTCGCGCTGCCCGTTCCTCCGCCTTCCCGCTGCCTCGCACCTGCACCTCCTGCTGCTGCTGCTGCTGCTGCTGCTGCTGCTGCTGCTGCTGCTGCTGCTGCTGCAGGTGGGCCTCGTGCTGCGGGAGCAGCTGTCCCCTGTGGCCCGCAGGCCAAATCGCCTCAGCCGCTGCATCAAGTCTCTGCTGGAGCGGTACGTACACCCGGTGGCTGCTGCTGCTCCCTGCAGGCTCAGTTGCATGCAGAGCAGCAGCAGCAGCAGCAGCAGCTGCTGCTGCTGCTGCTGGAGCTGCAGCTGGAGGAGCTGCACCAGCAGCAGCTGCTGCTGCTGGTGCCGCAGCTGCAGCTGGAGGAGCTGCAGCTGCAGCGGCAGCAGCAGTAGCTGCTGCTGCAGCATTCGCAGCAGCTGCCAGCTTTTCGCGGGAACCTGCTGCTGCTGCTGCTGCAGCAGCTGCTGCTGCCTTTTGTGCTGCTTCTTCTTTCAGGCCTGGGGCTTTTCTTGACTGTCTTTCTCCTGCTGCAGTTCTTGCTGCTCAGGGGGCCCTGGGGGCCCCCCAGGGGCCCCCCAAGCCGCAGGATTTGCTGCCTCTGTCTCACGAAACTCATGCTGCACTTACTGCAGCATCTCAAGACTTAGTGGTTAGCTGCTGCTGCACTCCAGTGGACCTTTTCCTGCAGCACTGCTACTCCGAGGCCCTGGCAGCAGCAGCAGCAGCTGCTGCTGCTTCCAGCAGCAGCAGCAGGAGCAGCAGCGGCCCCGATGGAAGCCGCAGCTCCAGCGCGGCGTACTTGAAAGAGCTGGGAGACACAGCTGACGCCCCCAGCAGCAGCAGCAGCAGCAGCAGCAGCAGCAGCAGCAGCAGCAGCAGCAGCCCCACAGCAGCAATCACAGCAGTAGGGGAGCACATCCTCACGCTGCTGCCGCTGCTGGAAGACTCTGCGCCTCCTGCTGAGGTAAAAGCAAAAGAATCAAATAAAGCTATTTTGCTGCAGCAGCAGACTAGCTATTTTGCTGCAGCAAACTAGCTGTTTTGCTGCAGCAGCAAACTAGCTGTTTTGCTGCAGCAGCAAAATAGCTGGTTTGCTGCAGCAGCAAACCATCTATTTTGCTGCAGCAGCAAACTAGCTGTTTTGCTGCAGCAGCAAGCTAGCAGACAGCCAAAAGGGGACGCTTCAGCTCCGCGGGGATTTGCTGCTGCATGCATTTTGCTTCCAGACTGCCAAACTGCTGCTGCTGCTGCTGCTGCTGCTGCTAGTACTGCTGCTGTTGTTCCTGCTGCTGCTGCTGCGGCTGCTGCTGCTAGAAATGCTGCTATCGCTGCTGCTGCTAGCACTGCTGCTACTGCTTCTGCTGGTGGTACTGCTGCTGCTACTGCTGCTGCTGCTGCTGCTGCTGCTGCAGCACGTTTTGCTTGTGTGCTGCGCTGCGGTGTCTGCAGCAGGGAGTCTCCTGGGTGTCTTTGCTGCTGCAGTCCTTAGCAAAGTGCTACACGCGGCAGCTGCTGAGCTGCCTGCAGCAAGGGGGGCCCCCCGGGGGCCCCCTGCAGCAGGCCGCGGAGCCTGGCGAGCCGGGCAGCCGCAAGCAGCAGCAGCAGCAGCAGCAGCAGCAGCAGCAGCAGCAGCAGCAGCAGGGGGGCGGGATCGGGCGATCCCAGCGCGCGTGGCTGCTAGCAGCAGTTGCAGACTTGGAGTGTCTGCAGCGGCTCGCGGAGACTCTGGGGGTTTCTGAGGAGGCCGAGGGCTTTGTGTACATGCGCGAGCAGCTGCAGCAGCTGCTGCACCCAGCAGCAGCAGCAGCAGCAGCAGCAGCAGCAGCAGCAGCAGCAGCGAAGGGCGCGCGCCCACTCGAGACAGAAGCGGCCAACGCACCCCAGCTGCAGCTTCCCAAAGAAGTCGTCCGCACCGCCCGCCGGCTTTTCTTGGAGACCTAAAAATGCATGCATGCATGCATGCATGCATGCATGCATGCATGCATGCATGCATGCATGCAGGTTTGCATGCATGCATGCATGCGCGCATGCATGCGTGCATGCATGCGTGCATGGAGGTCTGCATGCGTGCATAGCTCTCGCGTCTGTGGATACTTTTGTGCTAGCCCAAAAAACTGCATGCATGCATGCATGCATGCATGCATGCATGCATGCATGCATGCATGCATGCGATTTTGGGGCTGGCGGGGTCTAGAGCTGCATGCATGCAGCCCCGCTTTGCATGCATGCAGCTCTGGGGTGTCTAGACACCGCAGCGGGCTGGGGCAAAGCCCCAAGCAGCAGAATTTTCTTTAAAGACAAAAACAGCTGGAGTGTCTCTTCACTTGAACTCAGGTGTACGTACACCGCAGCCTTGAGCTCAGCTGTACGTACACCGCAGCCTTGAGCTCAGGTGTACGTACACCCCACGCAGCAGCAGCCCCGGGGCCGCTTTTGCTCTGGACATGCTGCTGGTATTATTATTATTTAAAATGTTATTATTATTATTATTATTATTATTATTATTATTATTGCTATTATTATTATTATTATTATTATTATTATTATTATTATTGCAGACAGCTAAGGAAGCCCCAGAAGTAGTAATACATTTTGTGTGGTTTTGGACTGTCTGTACACCCTGTTAGTTGCAGCTGAGGAGGTGTGGGGTCGTTTTGGAGTGTCTGTCTTTTCTTTTTTTCTTTTTCTTTTTTGTTTTCTTTTAATTGCACGTTTTTTGTTTATTTTTTATTTGTGTTGCATCTTCCTTTTTTGTCTTCTTATTTTTATTTGTGTTGCATCTTTCTTTTTTGTCTTTTTCTCCTCCCCAAGACTTCAAACGGATTCAAACTGCAGTTTAAGTCCTTTCAAGAAAATAAATAATAATAAAAAATAAATAAATTTCGGCAGCGCCAGCCCCCACCAGGTGTACATACACCTCAAGCAAACGCACATACACCCGAACAGCTGCACAGACACCCCACACAGGTGCGCGTACACCCCAAAAGGTCCCTATACACCTCAAAAAGGTGTTTTATATTCCAAACAACTGCATGTACACTCCAAAAGGTGGACATACACCCGGACAGCTGCGCATACACCCCAAAAAGGTGCATATACACCCCAGACACCTGAAACAGCTGCGCATACACCCCAAAGAGCTGCATATACACCCCAAAGAGGTGCCCATACACCCGAAGAGGTGCATATACACCCCAAAGAGGTGCACATACACCCCAAAGAGCTGCCCATACACCCGAAGAGGTGCACATACACCCCAAAGAGCTGCATATACACCCCAAAGAGGTGCCCATACACCCAAAGAGCTGCATATACACCCCAAAGAGCTGCGCATACACCCGAAGAGGTGCGCGTACAGCCCAGAGTCTGCGAGGTGTATGGACACCTCGCGGGGGCCCCAAGCGCCCCAATTGCAACTTTTGAGAAACAGAACTTCAGAACTTTTTCTTTTCTGTTTCTTTTTCTTTTTGGGGGCCCCCAAGAGCCGCCGCACCCCGACTGTGGGGCCCACCAGCTGCGGGGCCCTGCGGGCGCGCCCTCCATGGGCTGGTTGCTGCTGCTGCTGCTGCTGCTGCTGCTGCTGCTGCTGCTGCTCTGCTGCTGTTGCTGCTGCTGCTGCTGCTGCTCTGCTGCTGCTGCTGCTGCCTTAAAAAACAAACGGCTTGGAGCGGCTGTGAGGGCCTGAGAGGCGTCATTGTGGTGTACCTGCTGGCTGGGCTCGAGCCCTAAACCCTAAACCCTAAACCCTAAACCCTAAACCCAAAACCCTATTTTTTAGAGGTGTCTGATTCAGTGGTGCGCGGCGTGTGCGAAGTGGTCCCGTCGTGGCGGCGGCTGCTTTGCGTGTGCTGCGCTGCGGCGGCGCTGCTGCTGCTGCTGCTGTGCTGCTGCTGCTGCTGCGCTGCTGCTGCGCTGCTGCTGCTGCTGCTGCTGCTGCTGCTGCTGCGCTGCTGCAGCGACTGCAGCCGGCGGGTGACGCTGGTAATTATAACCTGCAAAAACTCATTCCACTCTGCAGCACAAGACCTTTGAATGGCCATGGAGACAGACTCCACAGCTTGAAAGAGGCTCTCCAGGTGACGCAAACCGCCGCACCCCTGCACACACAAACCCTAAACCCTAAACCCTAAACCCTAAACCCTAAACCCTAAACCCTAGACCCTAAACCCTAAATGGTTGGGGCTGGGACGCACAGCAGCGGGGGCTCGGGCGCTTCGAGTAAGAGGGGAGAGCTCGAGGCTGCAGCGGCTCAGCGCCAGCGGCCCTAAACCCTAAACCCTAAACCCTAAACCCTAAACCCTAAAGTGTAATAGGCGCGGGGCAGCTCGTTTGCTGCTGGCAGGCGTGGACCTTCAGCCCTTGCGGCTAAGCGTCTGCTGCATCCCTAAACCCTAAACCCTAAACCCTAAACCCTAAACCCTTGCTGCTGCTGCTGCAGCTCACTTTGGGGGGCGCTGCAGACTGCAGCAGCAGCTCGAAGGCGCCTGCGCCCCCCAGCCCCAAACCCTAAACCCTAAACCCTAAACCCTGAACCCTTGCTGCTGCTGCTGCAGCTCACTTTGGGGGGCGCTGCAGACTGCAGCAGCAGCTCGAAGGCGCCTGCGCCCCCCAGCCCCAAACCCTAAACCCTAAACCCTAAACCCTTGCTGCTGCTGCAGCTCACTTTGGGGGGCGCTGCAGACTGCAGCAGCAGCTCGAAGGCGCCTGCGCCCCCCAGCCCCAAACCCTAAACCCCAAACCCTAAACCCTAAACCCTAAACCCTTGCTGCTGCTGCAGCTCACTTTGGGGGGCGCTGCAGACTGCAGCAGCAGCTCGAAGGCCCCTGTGCCTGCCAGTCTGGCCACCAGCAGCAGCCACAGCTGCGGCTGCAGCAGGGGCCCCTCTGCTGCTGCCCATCTTTGCACTTTCTTCCAACTCTTTACCATTCCCCTCAAAGCCCGCGGCACTTTCTTTGCTGCCAAATCACAACAACCCCACCCCCGGGGGGCCCCCCCCTCGGGCCAGGGGGCCCCCTCGCCGCTGCAGGGGGCCCCCCGCTCTCCCCGGCCCCTCGGGGGGGCCCCCGGAGGGGCCCCCCGAGGGGCCCCCAGGGGGCCCCCCTGGGTCGCAGCTGCAGCAGCAGGGGGCGCGGGGTCTGGCGAGAGATCTGTGGGGTTGCTGCTGCTGCTGCTGCTGCTGCTGCTGCTCTGAAGAGTGGAAGCAAAAGAAAGAAAAAGAGACTGTGGGGTTTCTGCTGTCTCCAGAACTTCTGTCTCCGCCTGAGTCGAGCTGCTGGTCCGCAGGGCCCCACAGCCCTCCTCGGGGCCCCACAGGGGGCCCCCGGGGCCCCTCCGGGGGGCCCCCATTTGTCTTTTATCTCCCCAGTCAGCGCTGGGGCCCTCCCGGGGGGCCCCTGTGGGGGGCCCCCCTATCCCGCTGTCTTGGGGGGGCTGCTGCTGCGGTCTTGCTGCTTTTCCTGCTGCAGCAGCAGCAAGAAAAGGGTCGACGCGAGCTTCCCGGGGGGCCCCCTGGGGGGCCCCCCGCGACGGGGCCCCGGGGGGGGCCCCCCCTTGGGGGCCCCCTGGGGGGCCCCCCGGGGGCCCCTGGGGCCCCACATGCCCCAGCAAGGCAGCAGGGGGGCCCCCCTCTTGCAGGGCCTCTTCTGGAGATGAGGGAGACAAAGGAGTGGAGGAGGGGCTGCTGTCATCTGCAGTGTCCCCTTCCCCGGGGGCCCCCGGGTCTGAGGGGGGCCCCCGGGGGGCCCCCGGGTCCGAGGGGGGCCCCCGGGGGGCCCCCTCTTCTTCGAAAAGAGAAGGCAAAAAGGGTTTGAAAATGTGCACTCGGTGAAGAGGGTCTAGAAGGTAGTAGAGACATACCAGACGGGGCACCTGGAAGCAGCGCAGCAAACAAAATGCCCCCACTGCTGCTGCTGCTGCTGCTGCTGCTGCTGCTGCTGCTGCTGCTGCTGCTGCTGCTGGTGGCTCATGGAAGGGTTTTGTCTCTTCTTTGCTTCTTTTGCACTTTAGGCCAGAGAAGGAGACAATAAATGTAAATTGACTTTTGAATTAATAATTGAAATTTCAAAAGTTTATTTAAGTTTAAATTTATTTGCATTTGTTTGCACTTTTTGGACTTAAAAATATAATTCATTTCTATAAATATACTTATTTAAAGATATGGCTTTTAGATTTAAATTATTTATTTATTTGTATTTGTGTATTTAGATTTTGCCATTAAATATAAATACTTTTTAATTCTATAAACTTATGCTTTTGTTTTTAAATAAGAAAATATAATATATATATTATAAAAGCCTTTTCTACATATACATATAAAAGGAAATATGCATGCATGCATGCATGCATGCATGCATGCACATATGTATGCATGCATGCATGCATGCATGCATGCATGGACATATGTATGCATGCATGCATGCATGCGCGCATGCATGGATGCATGCATGCATGCATGCAAGCCACACTCCACAAAGCTGAGACGCATTTAAATAATGATTTTAAGACAATTAAAAAAAGCGAAAAAGTCAAATGGAAACATTTTAGAGTTTTAAAAAGTCAAAATAAAAGCTTTGAATGTTTTAAAAGATTTAAAATCCAAAAATTAAAAAATTAAAAAACTCCTCACCGCCAAAAAAGCCCCAACATCACAATTCACCAGCCGGTGCTCCAGGGTCTCTGTACCCTCCCCTTCAAAAGACCCATTTGACCCTCTTCTTCTTTCGCCCCCTAGGGGCCCCCCTGAACCCAAAAGGGGGCCCCCCCCTCCATGGGGGCCCCCCTCTCCCCCTGGGGGCCCCCCCCCTCCTCCTTTGGGGCCCCCCTCTCCTGCGGGGTAGCTCGAGTCGCCCCGCGGGGCCCCCCCGGGGGGACAAAGCCAGTCGGGGGCCCCTGGAGGGGCCCCCCCCTGGGGCCCCCCGTGGGGGCCCCCCTGGGGGCCTCCCTGGGGGCCCCCCTGCGGGGCCCCAAGAGATGTCTCCTGTTCCGGGGGCCCCAGGGGGGCCTCCGGAAGCGCGTTTGGGCCCTGCGGGTGGGAGGGGCCCCTGCGGGGCCCCCCTGATGGGAGGGGCCCCCTGGGGGGCCCCCCGGGAGGCATATATGGATTTTTCTGCCTGGAGAATGGAAATGATGAAGTCAATTAAACTCAAAAGATCTGATCTTCGCGCAGAGTCCCGGAGGTACTTGCTAGCTAGCTGCCAAGTTTCTTCAAGTCGAAAAAGATGAGCCACTAACATTTTGTTGTTTCCCAAGTGGGGGTCTACGCGTTCTGGAGACTGGCTCAGCTCCATTATATGCCTGAGACCCAACGCACCGACTCCGCAGCTAGCTGGATAGCTAGCTGGCTAGCTAGCTAGTGGCTAGACAGCTGCAGCTAGCTGTGGCTAGATCTAGCTAGCTGCTAGCTACGCCTAGCCGTGGATAGCCAGCTGTAGCTAGCTCTAGCTAGTTGTAGCTAGCTAGCGGCGGCTAATTAGATGTGGCTAGCTAGCTGTAGCTATCTGTGGCTAGCTAGCTGCAGCTAGCTATGGCTAGCTACCTGTGACTAGGCGTGGCTAGCTGGCTGTGGCTAGCTAGCTGTGTCTAGCTTGCTGTGGCTAGCTAGCCGTGGCTAGCTAGCTGTGGCTAGCTAGCTGTGGCTAGCTGTGGCTAGCTAGCTGTGGCTAGCTAGCTGACCCTCTGAATTCGTTGAAGCTGGTGACGCAGTCTGCGGCCAAGTGCTCAATAGCGGAGTAAAGGTGGCCCGGCTCAGACTCTGAAAAAATAAAAAATAAAAAAAATAAAAAATAAAAAATAAAATACAAATAATAATTAAATAATAAAAGTAAAATGGAATAAAGAAGTAGAAAGAAATAAAAAGATATAAAAGAAATAAAAAGAAATAAAAAGAGAAAAAAGGAAATAAAAGGAAACAAAAAGGAGGAAAGAAACAAAAGAGATAAAAGAAGCTAGAAAAAAATAAAAAGCAAAAAAAGGGGAAAACAGAAACAATAAAAAAGAAATAAAAGAAATAAAAATGATAAAAGGTGCAAAAGAGTTAAGAAAGAATAAAAGAATAAAAGATAAAACATCCAAAAGAAAAAAGTTTTTTTACAAAAAGGATTAGAGAAAGAAAAAGGAAAAAGAAATAGAAGAATAAAAGAAATGAAAAGGAGAAAAGAATTGAAATAAAAGAATCAAAATGAAACAAAAATAGAAATAAAAAAGAAATAAAAAAGAAATAAAAAAAGGAAAGAGAAAAAAGAATAAAAGAAGTAAAAAGGAGAAAAAATCCAAAATAAAAGAATCAAAAGGAAAGAAGCAAAAATGCAAAAATACAAAATTGAAAACCAAACAAAAATAAAAGAAGAAGTAAAAAGAACAAATAAAAGATTAAATAAAAAGTTAAATAAAAAATTGAATAAACGAATAAATGAAAGAATAAAAGGAAATAGATGAATAAATAAAATAAATAAAAGAAATGCTAGAAAGCAAATAAAAAGGAATTAAAGACATCTACAAAAATCAAATAAAAGAGTAAAGCAAATAAATAAATTAAATAGATTATTTAAATTAAATAAATTGAATAAATAAAATAAATTAAAAAAAGAAATAAATAAAATAGAATAAAAGAAAGACCTGCTGCCTCAAGAACAGGCAAAGAAAGGAATAAAAGACATCAACAAAAAGGGAAAAAACAAAAGAACAACAGGAGAACTAAATAAAAGTTTAAAATAAATAAAATAAATAAAATAATAAAAGAAATAAATAAAATAAAATAAATAAATATAAAAAATAAAATAAATAAAATAAAGAAAGACCTGCAGCTTTAATGACACTTTCTGCTGCCTCAAGAACTGGCAAAGAAAGCGAACAAACAGCAATTAAAAATATCAACAAAAAGATAAAAACAAACAAAACAATAAAACAAATAAATTAAATTAAATTAAATTAAATAATTAAATTAATTAATTAAATAAATAAAGAAAGACCTGCCGCTTTAATGACACTTTCTGCTGCTTCCAGCACTGGCAAAGAAAGCAAATAAACAGCAATTAAAGATATCAACAAAAAGATAAAAACAAAAAAAACAATAAAACAAATGAATTAAATTAAATTAAATTAAATTAAATTAAATAAATAAATAAATAAAGAAAGACCTGCAGCTTTAATGACACTTTCTGCTGCTTCCAAAACTGGCAAAGAAAGCAAATAAAGAGGAACTAAAGACACCAAAAGAAGGAGAAAAACAAAGAAAAGAATAAAACAAATGAATTAAATTGAATTAAATTAAATTAATTAAATAAAATAAACAAAATAAAGAAATACCTGCAGCTTTAATGACACTTTCTGCTGCTTCCAGAACTGGCAAAGAAAGCGCTTTGGGGGCTTTGAGGCTTTTCGTTGCTGCGGCGAAGAGGCGGGCGACGCGGTGTACGTACAGCTGCCTGCATGCGCGCCACTGCTGCCAGAGGGGGCGGGGAGTCGGGATCGGGATCGGGATCGGGATCGAGTGTGGGGCCCCACAGTCGATCCCGATCCCGGCGATCCCGGCGTGTGGGGCGGCGCCCAGCTGCACCAGCGCCGCCACCGCGGTGTCCAGACACCCCAGCTGCTGCTCCAGTATAGACACTGCAGCAACAGACCGCCGCGCCATTCTTTCAATTGCAATTAAAGACAGAATATATTCTTCTTCGAAAGAAGCCCACTCGCAGTCCAGGGCCACCAGGGCCGGCAGCAGCTCCAGCTGCCACCAGCTGCTGCCCCACAGGTCCTGCTGCTGCAGCTCCTGCAGCTAAAGCAACCCACACCACCCTGCACCGAACCCGCTGCAGCAGCAGCAGCAGCAGCAAAAGCAGCAACAGCAGCAGCAGCAAAAGCAGCAGCAGCAGCAGCAGCAGGAGCAGCAGCAGCAAAAGCAGAAGCAGCAGGAGCAAAAGCAGCAGCAGCAGCAGCAGCAAAAACAGCAGCTGCAGCAGCAGCAGCACCACCAACAGCAGCAGCAGCAGCAGCAGCAGCAGCAGCAGCAGCAGCAGCAGCAGCAGCAGCAGCAGCAGCTCACCAGCGCCTGCAGGAAGGCCCTGCAGGCCTTGACCCCCTCCTCCAGCCTCACCAGGGGCCTCCACCCCGGGGCGTTCGGGTGTACATGCAGCTCATTCAAAGCAGCAAATAAATCCCCCATGGCTTTCAAAGCTGCTGCACTCACTCCCAGGGGGCCCCCCACCACTCCCCCCGGGGGGCCCCCCTGGGGGCCTCCTTGGGGGCCCCCCTGGGGCCCCCCCTGGGGGCTCCCCTGGGGGCCCCCCTGGGGGCCCCCCTGGGGGCCCCCCTGGGGGCCCCCCTGGGGACCCAGCTGCGGGCCCAGCTGGGGGCCCCCCTGGGGGCCCCCCTGGGGGCCCCCCTGGGGGCCCAGCTGGGGGCCCCCCTGGGGGCCCCCCTGGGGGCCCCCCTGGGGGCCCAGCTGGGGGGCCCCCTGGGGGACCCTGGGGTGGGCCCCCAAGGGCGCTCCTGAGGGGGCCCCTTGGGGGGCCCCCTGGGGGGGCCCCGGGGGGGCCCCTTGGGGGGCCCCCTGAGGAGCCCCCACGGGGGGCCCCAGGGGGGCCCCTAAGGGGTACCTTGAAGGGGCCCGGAGGGGGGCCCCCAAGGGAGTGCATGCAGCAGCAGCAGTAGCTGGGGGGGGCCCCCCGCTGTCTGCAGGGGGCCCCCCCTCGCAGTCCATTTTGCTGCTGAGGAGCAGCAGCAAAGAGACAAAAGGGAAAAGGAGACACAGAAGCAAAGGCAAGCAGCAGCAGCTGCTGCTGCTCCTGCTGCTGCTGC